TTATTACATTGTGCTATTTTACTTAAGAAAAAAAGAGTAGGTGTACATGTATTAGTAATATACCAAAGATATCCCAAGGAAAATTTGTAAAAATAATGACTATTCTTTACAAATGATAAGACATGGAACTAATTTTTATGGTAGATCCATATTAGGCATTTTGTTTTACAAAGCTCGTTTATTAGACATTGAAAGTTCTCATATATCGAAGTTTTTGGTCAACAACACTGACATGTAAATACCGTATAGCTGTATAGTAGTTTATTGATTCAGATATTAGTGCCTATGTCCATTCACGTTATGATGTACTATCAACCAACTTCTATTTTCGATTTATCAGTTTAAAGTCAATCCACGTCGATAATTTTCGCAACTGAATATTCTCTAAAATTTCAAAGAACATAAATTTAACGCTGCGTTTATTTACGAGTAAAAGTTGATTGCAAAATTCGCGGATATTATTACACGCGAACAAAAGTTGGTTTACCGTATTGTAGGAAAGTGATCTTCCTAGTATATCCAATCACAGGAATTTAAGTTAAAAGTAAGAGATTAATATGGAATCCGGATAGGGCCACGCAGTTCACTATCGCATCATCGCACCATCGAGGTTTGAGTCGATGGTGCGATGACGCGATAATGCGATGACGATGAAGCGATTGTGCGATAACGATGAAGCGATGGTGCGATAGTGCGATGACGATGATGCGATGGCGCGATAGCGCGATGACGATGATGCGATGGTACGATGAAGCGATAATGCGATGACGCGATGGCACGATAGCGATGCTGCGATGGTGCGATAGCGATGATAGGATCGCTATCGCACCATCGCAGCATCGCTATCGTGCCATCGCATCATCGTCATCGCGCTATCGCGCCATCGCATCATCGTCATCGCACTATCGCACCATCGCTTCATCGTTATCGCACCATCGCTTCATCGTCATCGCATTATCGCGTCATCGCACCATCGACTCAAACCTCGATGGTGCGATGATGCGATAGTGAACTGCGTGGCCCTATCCGGATTCCATAGATTAAGAGGTTATTTGTCGGTAATTAATTGAGTTTTCTATTAATACCTCATTATATGCCAGTAAAGGGCTTTCAATTTATACCCGGCAATGAGGATCATTATGCAGCTAGAGTTTTTTTTTAGTTTGCGACGCAAATTTGTTTATTAAGTCTCTTAAAAAGTAACCATCATTTTAATTTCTAATACCGAGCGCTTGGCGAAGGAACTCTGACTCATTACCTATTTTATTCCGTTAGTTTGATAGTGCCTTTAAATCTGTTGAAATCTATGCATCATTAACTTACCGATCGGTAGCCTGGCTTGATTTAGATTGATCGAAGTAAGACAAAGTAAGACAAAACATTTTTTTAATATCGAATAGGGTGACGATAATATATTGATTATAGCAGAATATTATTTTTCTTTTCTATTATCTTATCGGAAATAAGAACGTTATTGAGATTTTGGTTTAGGCCATTTAATGAAGAAGATACTAGTAGTTATGACTTTCAAAATGACAATAGTTTCCCAAAAAAATATTTGTTTTAGCCCGAAAAAGGTTTTATCTTATTCAATCGATCTGGTGGATTCAGGGAATATCTGCAGAAAAAAGAGAGAAAAGTTTTTTAAACAATTTTACCAATATTTTCTTTCTGGAATATATTAAAATAATTATAACAGTGAAACTTGTCGATCTATACATTCCAAAATTTTGCGTAATATGATGTAAACTTGAAATGCATATTAGTAAATCTTTTGATAAAATGTTAAAATTTATTAAACTCATGTTGTTCGAATTAGAAAAGTACTAGTTTTTAGCTCACCTGAGACAAAGGCTCAAGTGAGCTTTTCTGATCACAATTTGTCCGTTGTCTGTCGTTGTCGTTGTCGGCGTTGTCGTCGTTGTCGTTGTCGTAAACTTTTCACATTTTCATCTTCTTCTCAAGAACCACTGGGCCAATTTCAACCAAACTTGCTACAAAGTATCCTGGGGTAAAGGGAATTCACATTTGTTCAAATGAAGGGCCACGCCCTTTTCCAAGGGGAGATAATCATGAATTAGAGAAAAATGATGGCATATTTTAAAAATCTTCCTCTCAAGAACCACTGGGCCAGGAAAGATGAAACTCATGTGAAATCATCCTCAGGTAGTGTAGATTCAAGTTTGTACAAATCATGACCCCCAGGGGTAGGGTGGGGCCAAAATGGCCGATCAAAATTTTACATAGGAATATTTAGGAAAAATCTTTAAAAATCTTCTCCTCAAGAACCAATAGGTCAGGAAAGATGAAACTCATGTGGAATCATCCTCAGGTAGTATAGATTCAAGTTTGTTCAAATTATTACTCCCGGGGGTAGGTTGGGGCCAAAATGGCATCAAAGTTTTACATAGGAATATAAAGGAAAAATCTATAAAAATCTTCTTCTCAAGAATATCTTTGCCATCATAGATGATATTTATATGGAATCATCCTCAGGTAGTGTAGATTCAAGTGTATTCAAATCATGACCCTCTGGGGGTTAAAATTCAAGTCCCCCCCCCCCTCAGTAAACTTTCAGTTCTGATCTGATATTTGCTTTTTCCTAGCCAATTGCTCAGGTGAGCGATGTGGCCCCTTGGCCTCTTGTTATGTATAATGTACAAGCTCATTTTATTCACCAACCACCCCCCCCAAAAAAAAAAAATGGAACATGAGGTTTAAATTACATAGACATTAAACAAACAAACTGGTCATGATTTTCTATATTAATGCACAAGGTTTCTTTAATCGGTGGGAATCCTTGAATCAAATGAAATTTATTAATTATCAGTTACCACCGGTTGTAAAGGTGAAGTAAAATAAGATACATGTAGCATATTTTGAAAGAATGTTCTGTGCAGTGTTTCGAGCAAAGTCTATTTAAATGCATACAGTATATTTTTTTGACAATTTTGCTTTAATACAAGTTTCCGCAAAGAGCTTAACTACACATTTAAAATTATGGAATCTCATATTTGCTGTTAAGGAACTTATACAGCTAAATGTTTCAATTCTACAATTTAAGAGCAATGATATTGTTTTGTTACAATTGCAATCATTAGCAGCCATAAAGTTAAGATAGATCAGGCCTGGGGGGCATAAAACTTAAACGAGCTCACTTTTGATCTCACTCTCATTTTTCCACTATATATTTTTTTTTCGTAAAGTGAGACTGGGATAAAAAAAAAAGAGCTCGTCTATGTTTTATTGCTCCCAGGCTAAGTTGTATTGTTACAAAAGACAAAGGCGGTAATATCTAATGTGGCAGTATCCCGAAAAATAACTGTATTCAAGATAGAAATGTTTGAAAGCAAAACCCCTTCACAAGTATCGTCATTCCGCGCTTAGTGCTGTGTACAGAGTTTAGTAAATTGAACAGACCTCTGAAACTAACACAGTTTTTGTAAACAGGGGACTTGGTCTATCATTGTTAAGGTTTATAATTCACTGGGTGTGTTCAATTTTAAAGTCTACTCACCACAAGTGCGAGGGATGACAATATATTGTGTGTATGTTTTGCTTTTGAACATTTCTACTATGAATTTTTTGGATAATATTAATATTTTTCTTTAATACACAACAAGATTACCACTTTTCCCAAGTATTAAGAATAAAATTAAAATTTGTGAAAGTGCAAGGATGTGTCAATCAAAGCCAAATTTGAAGTTTCAATAACTTTTAGATGAAAATAGATTTTTAATATATTTTAGTGTGAAATGCGTACACTCATCTTTACGGATGTCCCAAATACTGTGATACTTAGATTCCTTACTTTTCGTTCTTATTATCAAAAAGTAGTCATTAAACGTCAAATCCCGAAGACAATACTTTGCAAATAGAAGGTTGATTTTACATGGATTTCTGAGCAATAAATATAAAAAGCGAGTATTTTTATTTCTGAAGTGGTGTTTCTCGCATACTGCATGTTCACTTAATATATTAAGAAATCTACAGTAAACATAGGTATCTCTATTACTTTTTCCAACAGTCTTCTTAGAGAACTGAGTATGAATTTCATATTATTACATTTTTGTGTTTTTTTTTTTTCATAATTCTATGAACAATATTCTTAATGCGAAGGAAGCAATGCTTAAATATTCATATACAAATGTAATATAACAAACACTTACAGCACATTAGTATGTTATCTAAGAATTACAAATGTTTTAAAACTTCATATTATTCTAAAGCAAATCAAAGTATTTCGTATAGTTAATAATGGTTTACATTAGTTATACATAGTCCCCTTCATTATGGAATCCTATGAAGAAGACTTTTTATTGATAATCTTTGAATTTATTTTATCAAATTTGGGCGGAGCCACATATTAGGAATTTGCTCCGCCTACGTTAAATGCACGGTATAAAATGTTCCAAGATAATTTTAATCGTCTAAATTCATACATATAATGTCTCAATCCCAAATTTATTTTCATCAAATGCATTGTTTGAAAATTTTAAATTTCTCAATCAATGATGAGTCATTTGAAGACCATGTTTGTTTTAATTTGGATGGCATCTTCAGAGGCCTACGGTATGTGTGTTAAAGTTATGATCATTTGAAAAATATATTATTAAATAACCTGTAGTGATCGGCGATGTGATGATTTTTGTTTAAATTAAGAGGATCTTTCTGGAAACAAATCTGCAACTCAAAGTACAACGTTACCATGCATCGGATGCCCTGATAGATCATATGTTGCAAGTATGGCTGTGGACGATGATATGACAACATGTACTAGGACAGCGTTTGAGACGAATCAGTGGTGGATGGTTGATCTTCTGGAAATGAAATCTATTTATGCTGTAGAGTTTTCCTTTAGAGATTATGGTGATGTCTATCGTAAGTTTTAAATGCTCCTGCATTGCTTTGTGTTTTGAAATTATTTATTATTTTTGGTCTAAATGGAAAGATTTTCTGACATTTTTATTCGAGGAACGCGACAACAAGAACGTTTATCTGGATATTCCATATATGTTTCAAAATCACCAGAAATTAAAAGTGGTGCATTGTGTTTCAAACATAACGAATCAAACCCGACCCAATTAACTGCAAAGCATGTCTGTGTTTCTGTTGGACGTTATATCCAATTTCTGAATGAAAAGAGAACTATCACTGAATTGTGCAGTTTCATTGTTCTAGGTTAGTGATTTCATTTTTCACGTTTCCATTCCTTCAGCCTAATGCATATTGTAGCTAAAAACCATCATATTTCTTTCTCTAATAACACGGAATGAATCTTTATAATTACAGAGCAGCAGAAGTTATACGCTTTGACTTCTACTAAAAAAGCATATGCCTTTCTTTGCTTATAAGGTATCAGGAGTTATGAACTTGTAATATCTTAGTAGCTATTAATTGATATGTGTCGTATTCATTTTAGGAACATCCCAAGGATTCCATAGAACATAAACAATATGAATATAAATTAAAAATTTTATTTTGTCAGAATTTCATCAACTTTAACAAAACTAAAATTGAATTATATTGTTGACCAATGCACCCTTTCTGCAAGAAAATTAAAATTAAAAGACATTTTAATTTATCAATTTGAGCACTTTTGACAGTATTTACTGTTTGGTTTAGCAAATGTCTTCGAATCATTATTTCTACATCAATTTGATGTATCCCTACGAACAATTAACAAAAGACACCACATAACCTGACTGTTTAATATTTGACTAATTTTTCCAAATAAAGACTTCAGTGGCAAACTTACAACAAAGCTTTATGATAAACGCCTTACGTTTTCTGGTCAGTTTACATTTTTAGATAATAGCAATATTATATCAGTATTACCTGGATATAAAGTTTATGTCTCCAGTTTAAATCATTATGCAGGAAAATGTTCACCTACAAGCCAATCTCCAAACGGGAAAACTACTGTCAAATTAAGTTTTTGAAACAAGGATATCAATATTCAAAATTTCGAAAGTTTTATGAAGATACACAAATATTGTTAGCATATAAATCTATTTTTGATTCTTTGTCTGCCTTGCATAAAAGCCGAGGTCCTATGTCGCAGTAGGTGCTGTCACGGTAAAGATCCCTCCCTGTTCACTGGCCCAGAGTGCTGATTATAGGGCAAAATTTGCAGCTCTCCACAGGCAAGTGGTGGCGTCTCCATATGAAAGAAAACATTTCGAGAGTGACGTTAAACAACATGCAATCAACCAATCGTCTGCCTGGCGCAGTGGTTAGAGCGTCTGCTCTAGAGTTACGAAGAAAGGAGTCAATCCTTACATCACGGGTTCGAATCCAGCTTTGGGACGTGGAGACCGGTCCTTCGGATGAGACCTTATAAACCGAGGTCCCGTGTAGCAGTAGGTGCTGTCATGAAAAAGATCTCCCCTGCTCAATGGCCCTGAGTGCCGAGTTTTGGACAAAATTTGCAGCTCTCCCCCGGCAAGTGGTGGCGTCTCCATATGAGTGAATAATTCTCGAGAGGGACTTATACAATATACAGTCAATCAGTAAATATTTTTGATTCGAATGTTGACTGAAGTCTCAAAAAACATATCTAGGACATTATTTTACATTAGGATATTTCGGAAGATCATAACGTGGAGCACACTGGCGGTGTGAAAATCGTCATAGATGCTTACTGCATTATGGTACCTGAACCCACCAATGTTTTGTTTTTAGGTTAATGTTTGCTCTGCTGCAAATGAGTAATGTTCCAATAAACTCTTAAGCTTGATTACTGATTTTTACTTTTACATTTTGTCATATGCATGTTTAAACAATAAAATGCCTTCTTAGTTGCATAATTACCAGTTGCAACTATTTCAGAAAAAAATAACCCGCTTATGTGGCTTTATAACATTTGCAATTTTGAAGCAAATAATCTCCAAATTAACACACAAGACTCTTTTTTTACAATCTCATCTGTAAACATTAAGTATGCTTGGGAAATAAATATACTGTATGTGTACTTAAAATAGCAGACTTCATATTTTAGCGGCTTTGGCGCAGATGATGATGCGCTAATTCATGAATACCGCTAAAAATAATTTATAATTGATTATACGGCACGAATATGTGTAGCGCTAATTTATGATTACGCCAACAACTCCATATCCATTGATTGCGTTAACTTGAATACGCCAAATTATGAATGAACACGTACAGTCTACAATTGATTAAAACGTGATTGTATGTTTTTTTGATGGAAGGTTACACCTCTTATGGAATCTTTAAAAAAGATACTTACAGCATTAATAGTTTGAGAGCTGTGATGTTGTGCTTTTGATGAAATGGACAATTGTATTTGCCGACAAAGACATTTTATCGACATGATGACTTTAAACAAAAATGTTGATAGCTTTGTTTCATCAGCTTAATTGCTTCGTTTTAGAAATTGTTCGTATAAAGAGCATGCTCTTGAGTATCGAATCAACTAAGAAACATAAACCCCATATGCAGGTGATAAGGTCATGCAGGCCTAGGTCATGCTACTTAGGTATGAGAAGCTGACGATTAAAAAGATGAAGTCATCACGTTTATCATTAAGCTTTGTTATGAGGTAACTATTAACGTATTTTTCTTGTTATTAAATATGAGAAAAGTGTGTTCGACTTTTACTTCAGCCCACTGGGATATATCGAATCGGCAGCTGAATAGATTGATTAATTGTGTGTTGTTCACGTCCATTTCGAGAATTTTTCACTCATTTAGATGTCAAAATATAACAGACTTCACTCGGTGCTCAGGGTGAATGGGCAGTAAGGGATCTTTATCGTTCCAACGTCTGACACGTGACACGGTACCTAGGTTTTTAGGCCTATCCGAAAGAGGCGCAACTTTCACTTCAAAGTGCTGAATGCATGGCGAACTATTTCTACCAACTTTTTATCGACTTATATGTGGGGCAGTCGCGGCCTAGATTCAAACTCAATACTTTCCAATCACAGTGAAGTACAGATATACATTTTATAATCATTATGCAATTAGAAGTTCCTGTTTAAAAATTTTTCACCACATCGATCATGTTCTAAAGAATCATGGCACAGATTCTGACACAGGTTGTAACAAAGGCTACTACGGTGTTGATTGCAATTATCCATGTCCTCAGCATTGCAAAAATGACCAGTGTTTGGTTACAAACGGAATATGTTATGGATGTGCAGATGGCTGGACTGGTTCTAAGTGTAGACAAGGTAAATATCAGTATCACTTACCACTCTTATTATAGGAGTTTTATGAAGAGACTTACTTTTACATTCGGCAGCTGACTTTTACGTTTTAGTAACTGGAGTTGGTCTATGTTTAAACTGTAGAAGTCAGTCGTCGATTGTAAAAGTAAGCCTCTTCATAAAACTCCATTATGAGGTATCCATGAATCAATGAATGTTGAAGCTTACTGTTAATTTTTCATACACTTTTCAATATTGTATATCTAAGAAGATAATGATGATGTATATATAAGTATTAAAAGTACTAATATATTGACGTCCTCTTCATTATGCAGCATGCTCAGCTGGAAGGTTTGGTCCTGATTGTCATTTGTTCTGCTCTGGACATTGTAAATATAATTCTACTTGTCATCCCACTGATGGTATCTGCTATAACGGCTGTACTGACGGATGGATGGGCGAGTTTTGCAATAAAAGTAAAATGTTACATAACCTTACAAGATTCAATTTTTTCTATTTGTTTGATATCATGCTTCATTTTACGTAACATTCATGACCGTAGCCCAAAATTCATTATATATATAGAGGACATTCAATGTTTTGTGGTTGAATATGGAATTTATTTTTCACGAGTGGGACAGGATTTATAATATTTTCACGAGTGCGAAGCACGAGTGAAAATATCAAAAAATCATGTCTCACGAATTGAATTTTGAATTTTAAAACAAAAATCTTTTATTTTTCCTTTGCATCTGCCTTTTTGTAATCCAATGATCGGCTACATGACGTCATAGTTGAGCGGTTGAGACGTCATAGCTAAGTGAGGTGAAAACACAGTAAACATGGATTTAGCAACATATTTTTGGTAATTTTTGACAGTGTTATTCGCTGTCAGTATGGTTTATTTATTTCCATCGATCTTATATTACATCAAGAAAGTTTTTTTTACAACAATCTTCGTTCTGGGAAGGGAAATCGAGAGTTTTCCCGCACTTCTGATATTCGTCACACAGTGACAGGATATCATTTTGATATCCTTTCACACTGTGACAGGATATCATTTTTATTCAATGAATAAATTACAGTATATCACGGGTAAAAATGTAATAAATGAAATTATGGTTCCAGTTAAAAGATCGGTTTCCCCCAAACCTTTGCCCTCTATTAAATAGTAACTTATGCTCCTCATTATTTACATTATTTACACTGTACGTTAAGATTTAAGGCAACATTTAGATAAATCTTCTAAATTACCTTTACAGGCTGTGCCTCTGGTACATTTGGACCGGATTGTAAATACAACTGTAGTAGACATTGTCTTAATGATTCGGTCTGTAACAGTATAACAGGAAAATGTGACAAAGGATGTAAACCTGGATATATGGGAGAACAATGCAATAATGGTATTTTTGATTTAATCTCATGTGAGCTTAAGTCGTATATCTGACTTACTTTACATGTATATCTACTTAGACACTGTCTAACTATTTTCACATTTTCACATTTTCAACCCTTTCTTTAGAAATAATGAAGGATTATGATCTGCTGTTTTATTTTCATAACATTGTCTCCTATATTTATCAAACATACATAATATTATAATTATAATCATATAATTTGTGAAAAATGTACCAATCCTGGGGAATGGCGGGTGTTAATGACAAACTTTGTCATTTGGGAGGGTCAATAAATGTTCAATAAATAAATTCAACTCTTATACAGCCATACAACATGTAAAAACATGAGACATGCAACAATTTTGATTTGTTCGATCTGAGCATGAGTAAACACTTTGACTTAAAAACTTTTGATTTTTTTAAAATACCATCCTCCGGGTATTAAAATCAAATAAATATTTTATTGTAGTTTGTAGTCATGGTTATTTTGGACCAAATTGTTCGAAGAACTGCAGTTCACTGTGTATTGGAAGAAACTGTCAAAGTGTCAATGGATTATGTCTTCTTGGGTGCATCAGCGGTTACAAAGGTCCAACATGTGAACAACGTATGAATTTATTTTTTGATTTGTGAATAATCATGACTATAAAATTTCGACTCATAATGTTTAACAATTAATATGATGTCATTGCAATTAACTTCACTGAATATGAAATTAGAGTGCAGCAAAGGATGGTATGGTTACAGTTGCTCCAGGAAGTGTGACAACTGTGTAAATCAAACTTGTAATCATATAACGGGCAACTGTCAGTATGGATGTAAAACAGGCTGGAGAGGATCAACATGCTCTATAGGTAAAATATGTATATAAAGTGACATTTTAAAGAAATTTTTTCATATATGGTATGTACTTGTACAGAGATATATAAACATGCATTTTTCTGCTTTCTAACCTTTAATGACATTTCGACGAAAATACATGAACTAATTCCAAATTATTCAAAAACATACAAAAGCTCAACAAATGAATATAAGATAAAATTGTTTCGATAACTGAAAAATGTTTTACAGAATTTTCAATATAGTGACTTCAAATCACACTTCATGCAATAAAAAAGTGGTTTCTGTGAGGACAAAGAAGTTGCGATCTTCTACCAAAATGCTTTTCCATAAATATTCCATAAAAATTTTAGTAGATCACGAAAACAGGGCTTCAAAAATTACTATGATTTCAAAGATATGAGTGTCAGTGCATATCTAGAAGCTTAAGAAGCCTGAGTCCAAAAGACAAAAGAATAAGAAAGCCGATGATGCTCAAAATGTAAAATGTGTATTTTTTGTTTATATAATATTTAATTAGAGACTATAACCTTTTTACTCATATACTCGACAGTGTGTACCATGGACTCATATGGAACAGACTGCATGTTTTCTTGTAGCCAAAACTGCCTTAACAAGGAACCTTGTGACCACGTGACTGGAGTTTGTAAAAATGGTTGTTCAGAGGGTTATAAAGGAGAGCTATGTAATTCAAGTAAGATAATTATACATATATATTTCACATTTTATCGTTATAAATGCATATGAGGTTGCTTTGATTGTTTATATAACTATTTTTGGAGGTTTGTTTTTACCTTGATTATTCTGAATTACACATATTGTCAAGAAAATTATAATAATGGTCTACCACATCGACTTAATGCAAAAAGGTGCTTATCAATACAACTTTTATGGTTTCCTTTTCATAGATTCATCTCATATGTAAGAAACTCAGGTACATTTACTATAAAATATAAAATGTGTTAAAGAAATTACATTGTTAAAGAAATGTACAAACATTTTATAAAGGCAAAAATACATAATCCATATATATATATATATATATATATATATATATATATATATATATATATATATATATATATATATATATATATATATATATATATATATTGAATTCAATGGGAAAAAACATGAAAACATATTTTATTTTATCTTATGATTCCACAAACTTCAAATGTAGTATCAAATAGAATAATAAAAAAAGATAGCTCATTTTATTATTTTTAGTTTGTGGAAATGGTTATTTCGGGGAAAATTGTTCTAATGTTTGCTCTGAGAACTGTTCTGATATATGCCATCATATTGACGGGATGTGTAATTGCAAGGCTGGAATGGAAAATTCTCCAGAATGCAAACAAGGTAATATGTGAAAGCAATCAGATATGTTAAAAGCAAATGCGTAGAGCCACATACCCAGTGTAAATATATATGTTCATTAACATTTCAAGTTTGGTAATAATAATGTTTGGTCAATAATTGGTAACATATAATTATAATATATATAATTCATAAAATGTGTATGAAAATACCTGTATGTAAATCACATAACTTTTTCTATTTTTTTTAATACAGTTTCATTATTGACTACGGCCAGAGAATGTGATGATCACTGTGTTTATGCTATTGGAATTTCTATGTTAGTCATACTTAATGTTTTGACCTGTACATTATGGATTCGTGGAAGGTATTTTTTTTATTCTAAAGAATTATTTAGTAATTTAATATAATTATAGATATGCATTTCCTTTTTTATTTTTGTTTTGTATTAGAAGAAGGCAGGTGAAAGTGAAAAGACAGTCCTCCTCTCATTATATAACTACTGAAGCAGAAATGAAAGTAAAGACTTCTGAATCACATGAATATCAGGAAGTGCACTCTGTATCACGTGATTTTTCGTACCAAAATCTCTCATTTGATACATAAGAGATTTGAAAATACAGGGTTCGACTAGGTGAGTTCGGAACCTCAGACTGTATCAGTGATATTTGAGTTAAATAAAGAAGAATCATTCTTTTAATTCATATAAAGATTTCATTTGTTTTCGTATGATAATCATGTTTTTACTGGAATAATAAAGATATATAAAATACTTTTATTATTTGACAGTGTATTTATAGTGCATAATGGTGTACCAGGCAGAGGACTACAATTTTTCGATCGGCAAACGTGTGTGCAAAATCGAATTATAAAAATTTCTTGATTATAAAATAATTATAAAAATTATAAAAAGCTTTCTTGACATATAACAACTGAAGTTATGAACAATGCGAAAAAAAAAGAGATGCTAACACGACAATACTTGCAATTGATAAATGCTGTTATTGTTGAGAAATTGTCATTCATAATATCTGAACATGTTTATAATATCTGAACATGGAGAGAAAGAAAGAGATAGAGAGAGGGATTTTTCTCTGTAATAATCCTTTAACGATGTTTATATCGTATCTTTATTATCTTTGTTTCTTTGAGTATTTTTGTTGAGTAAATTGTACTTCCTGACTTCAGCATGAACTAAGTACTTTAATAAAAAAAATTATATGAATATCTAACAATTATTTTATCTACCTTTTAATAATTTTAAAAAATAATACCCCTTTAATTGTTTATATAATATCATATTTCAGCGAATAGCAACAACGTGTACTTTAAAATTTGAAGACATACATTTTTTTTTCACAAGTGGCATACATTCATTTCATTTACGCACTAGTCCTTGTTGGATAAAGTACAATTATCTTTTATTTTCAAAATAATGTGAGAACTACTCTTAATTTAACTCTCTTTATATCTTTGCAACTGTATTTTACATTTCTTTAAAAGAAATTTCACCTTAAAAACACTATTGGTGTGTTGAATAAGGAAAATAAATACGCTAATATGTAAATAAAGATAAATAAAAGTACTATATATAATAAATATGAGGAAATATTCCACTGA